AGTTTCAGTCTTTTGGTGGGCCTGTGTCCTTGGGCTATGACCTTCACAAGTGTCCCTCAGCCCTTTCCCCACCTTAGGAGAGACAGGAAGGATAGGAGGGGCTGGAGCTGGGTAATGCTCCCCCCCCACCCATAAGTCTCTAGCTAAGTCTTTTCTCCTGCTGAGTAGGCTTTTGTTATGGAGAAGGCTCTGGGTATATTTCAAAATGCTTTATTTTCCCCTCCTCTGTCAGAAACATGAGGATTTCTTCTTGGCTTTTCACCATGAGAACCTGGTGAGGTTCCTGGAGGTAAAACCCGTGAAAGTGTGGGGTGCCCCCTAAGACTGCAGCCCCCAGGAGTTCCTCAGTCTCATACTAGCCCACACTCCCCTTCCAACAATTTGTCAAAGTTATCATTTAAATGTGCTTACCAGCTTAAGGCTCCAGGGGCTTCTGTTTCAGGTAAGCTGATCTTGGCTGTGATTCTCTGTGTTTGCCTGTCTCTCCAGCATTTGGGGGGCAGTTTGCCCTGCAACCTCAAATCTCTGATGAGTCCAAGAAAAGTAACTGATTTAAAGTTTGTTTAGCTTTTTTCTTGTTGTAAGGATGGGAGCGATGACTTTCTTTACATGTCAAAGCTGAAACTGGAAGCCTTCAAAACTCTGTAAAAGCAAACTTGAAAAGCATTTTGTCATCTATTCAATTATTCACTTATCATAAATGCAAGATATTGAGCTAGACTCTATGGGTGGATGCGGAGATAAGCAAACACAGATCCTGCCCTCAAGGAGTTTATATTCTAATGGGATGGTACAAGACATCTTCTCAACCCCTGTGCTTGAACGTGTCAGAGGTGTGTGGAGGCATTAACAGCCCCAGCTCCCAGTGCGCCAGTGGCAGAACCTGAGAGTAGCGTTCTCTCTTAGTTTTTCTTTATACACATGATTTTCTATTTGTGCCATCACAGGGAAAAGTACTGGAGGTGGCAACAAGACACATACCAAATTACTGGAATAAAATGTAGACAGTGATGTGTCAAAAAAAGATCAGATTATAAGGTAGGTTTTGGAGGAGGGAGGCATTAAATCTAGAAATTCTGAAAATATTAGGAGAGGTCACATTTGGGGTGAACATGGAAAGATGAGTAGGATTTGGATGTGCAGAGAGGGAGGGACAATTGGTGGAGAATATTCCAGGTGGAAGGCACAGGGCAGGACTGGGGAAAGGACTGGGATGAAGAATATCGAGTTCATGGATGGACATTGAGGGTATTATGCAAAGTGAAATAAGTCAGAGGGAGAATGTCAAATACCGTATGATTTCCCTCATTAAGTAGTAGATAATAACAACAACAAACAAACACATAGAGACAGAGATTGGATTGGTGGTTACTAGAGGGGAAGCGGGGAGGGAGGAGGGTGAAAGGGATAATTCGGCACATGTGTGAGGTGATGGGTTGTAATTAGTACTTGGGTGGTGAACATGATGTAATCTATGCAGAAATAGAAGTATAATGATGTTCACCTGAAATTTATACAATGTTATAAACCAATGTTACTGCAATAAACAACAACAACAAAAAGAATATCGAGTTCAGTTTGGTTAGAGCAGAGGATGCGTGAGGGGAGTAATGGGTGATAAAAGTTAAAAAGCAACGTTGGGCCCATGTGGAATATCTATCAATTTGCATGTCTATATATCTATCATGTGATATTAATTGACATTCATGATAATAATAACTAAGGCACTACAAAATTCAAGATGCCTTGTAAATTGCCAAAGTTTAAATAACATTTAATATGATTGCAATGCTGAGTATGTTTACTGTGTTTTAATTGCAAGCATAGTGTAAAGTAAAGTTGCGTCCTTTGAGGGTGAGTTGGATGGTGAAGGGTGTATGAGGAATTAACGTCAGCGAATAAATCAAAAATCACAGCGTCAAAATCACCCTTGAAAATTGTTTCAATTGCCCATAAGGTCCATTAAGCATGGTTTTATAAATACTACCTTATGCAATAATTCTTAGGCACACTAGGTTTTGAGATTAAGGTAATTATAAGAACAAAAAGTGGGGGAGGAGTCTATAGGCAGATGTCTGAGCATTTAACCTATTCTACATAAAACGATTACCAAATTCCTAAGCGGTGAATGGTTGATGAATGGAGAATTCTAGTGTCACTACCTTCAGAGTTAACTCCTTTTGGTTTGATATAAGGTCTCTATAAATGTAATGTACATGCACTGATTGTTTGGTGATGGTGTGTGTGTGTGGCGGCAAGGGATGGTAAAGCAGAAAGTGAAGAGGTTGAGGTACTAAAGTCAGTGAACACTACCTATAAGTTTAAAACAAAAGAAACAAATGGGATTTGGTATCTATAACAGTTTGCACTCTCTTAACTGAAAGTAGTAGAAGTTCACCTGAGCTGGTTCAAGCAATTAAAGAAAAAGCAGGAGTGGGGACTGGGGGTTTAGAAGGCTTTGGGGTGTAACCAGACCTAAGTGTTAGGATTCGGCTAAGCCTCAGGAATGAAGTGGACCAGGAATTTGAATGTCCTCCAAAACTCTTGCTTTTTTGTGGATCTAATCATTCTTACCTCTCTCCCCTCTCTTTTTATCTCTTTCATAGCTTTTTATTTTCAAAGGGGTGAAAGGCTTTAACAAGGGTAGGGTTTACTGCTGCTATTTCTGCACTATTTCATAGAGAGAGGTAATAGAGAGAAATAATATCAAGGAAGTAGCTATTCTTGTTTACTAAGAGGTTTTGTTTGTTTTAAATCAAGAATTGCTAGTTCTTTACTTCCCCTTTTTATTGCGGTATAACTTACATACAGTACACAAATCTTAGGTGTATAGCTTGATGAATTTTCACATATGTAATCACACCAGATCAATATATAGAACATTTCCAGCACCCCAGTAAATAATAATATATACCTTTCCTTAAGAAACAGCTTTATTCAGGTATAAGTCACATACAATAAACACGTATACATATATTTAAAGTGTACAATTTGGCAAGTTTTGATATATGTACATACCCATGCAACTAGTACCACAATCAAGATAATGAACATATCCATCACCCCCGAAGTTTTCTTTTGCCCCTTTGTAATCCTTCCCTCCACCCCCACCCCATTTAGCTATTATTCTTAATTCTCCAGATATGTCCTATAATTCCTTACAAACACAAACACGATTCTGCTATTTTTGAATGTGATCTTTTCTCCTCCTACATTCTTAAATTGGCAATTGTTGTTTAGGAAAGCTATTTCTCCAGCCACTTTAATGAACTTGTTTCAATTCATTCCTTTGGATTTTCCAAGTAAGCAATCATAATACCTGAAAAGAATTATATATGTAGATATATTTATATGTGTATATATATGTATAGATATATATATAAAAACATAAATACACACACACACACACACACTCTCTTATTGTTTTGTCTGGACTTCCTGGTTCAGTTAGGACCTCAGGGAAATGTTGGATAGTAGCAGCAGGCCTGCTCCTAACAACTTCAGGGCCCAGGCCAAGAGCACAAAAAGAGACCCACACACCATATGTCTAAATATTTAAAGATTATAAATCAAGCTAACAAACTGTTAGATTAAAAAGTTCTAGCCTGCTCCCTTGACACACCTAACTTTGGCAAACATACATATAATAACCTAGAAGGCTAGGTTCAAATTTAGAATCCTGAGTGCCATACCTCCCTATTGTACTTGAGGTAGCTTTTTCAGAACTTAACTTGAATGACCCTTACTTCAAAAGATCTTGTTTAACCGACCCTTGCATAAAAAATATTTTCCCATGGTATTGCCTAATACTTTTCTCCTTAGAATTAAAATTTTATAAGCACCTCATTCCTAGAGTAAAACATATATCAACATCCACTATACTCACAAAGAAAATCCAAACTGCTTAGATTTTGTGCCTTATTTTAGCAATTGCCTTTCAAGGCTTTCTTACAGGCCCCTAGTCTTCCTTGGTCCACAATTCCCACCTCTACATCCACTCCACAGGAAGATTCTTAAGAACTGAGTTTCCTTAGTTACAGCTTGAACATCCTTATGAGTTCTGAGGACAATACCATCAGTGGATACATTCTAAACAAGTCATCTGAATATTCACCAACACATATAAAAAAGGCTGGGTCTGGAAGTCAGGTCATCCAGAAAGCACCTGTGACCCGGACAGGCCTTCAAAGCCAGCCAGCTGCTTCTTCCTTGGTAGCAGCTGGTAAGGGGAAGAACTTGGGAAGGAACTTAGCAAACCCAGCTGGAGTTCCAACTCGGTCACTAACTGGTTGAACTGGAGTGAGTCACTTAAAACTCTCTGTTGAGCCCTGGTGTCAGTATCTATAAAATCGGGACGAGGACCTTGGCATTAAGGGCTCCATCAGCTTTGGGGTCAGAAATCACGACTTGTCTGAGCTTCAATTTCTGTGCCTGTTACAGTTAAGACTTGTGCCCTGTCCACCTCACAGGGTTTTTGGGGGCTCGAGGGAGAAGGCACCACCTTTCTGAGCTTCAGTTTCTACATGTGTAAAGAGCTAAGAACACACGGCCAGCCCGCCAAGAAAATTCCTGGAAGAAGAGAGGAAAATGGACAAGAACATTGCAAAAGTAGAAGGGTACATAAACATGAATTGTCTCATACTTAAAACACAACCAACAGACCTAAAAAGCGTTTGTGCGCCTCCTTCCTCCTGGCTTCAGTGTTACAACCCCACAACGAAAATCTAGACCACTTTTTAAAAGGATTCTTGAGATCCCGGGCGGCGACCGCGTCAGTCCCACTAATCCGCGCGCCAGCCACACCCCGCGAAGCCTGGAATGGGCGAAAGGGG